ATATATAGTAATATACACATGGACTAAATGGTTTCCAGTCCGTAAATAATAAACGCTTGTTGCCAGGTGAACGTGAAGTGGATAATAAATATGTATGGACCAATTTTACGCAGTCCCCAATAAGAAAAATGAAAGAAAAAAATTTTCTTTTTTTAATTAAGAAAAAATATTTCCACAATATAGGATCGATGACAGAAATATATTTGGTATTGATATAATTTCTTTGAGAAAAATTGTTCATTTTTCATTCTCTCTTAGGCTCTACAATTTAGATATACTGCTTTGGTCAGGTCCCTACGAAATATATATTTATAATTTTATATATTTATATTTTTCATACATTTATACTTATTGCAATATACTTAAACTTTATATATTTGTATTTATTTATATAATTTATAAAATTACCGTCAACTATTGATTGGAACCGTTTTTTATGACATTCGTGGTGTGCAAATTCATTTTTTATGATACACTAAAATGTTTATTTATACCAGACTAGACGGATTCCTGTAGCTTTCTATTTATATAAATTTTATAGGGATGTTAAATTGTGATTCGATTCTATTCAAGTCGACATATATATGAATATATATAATAATATTTATTTTATTTCGAGAGTAATAACTCGAATATGAACGATAAAGAATTTTGATCCATTTTTCATTTAAAAAAACAAAATTATTATTTTCTATCTATAGGCTGGAAAAATTAATTCTTAGCTAGGTAATGAGATAGAAGAGGAAAAATATAAAACAAAAAAAAATAGTAAAATCGTACATTTTCTTCATATTTTTAACTATTGTAATAAATTGTCATTTTTTGTAAGTTAGAAAAAGTTTTAGTTATGCTAATAAAAATTGTAATAAAAATTTTGATTAACAATTTAAACAAACTTACAAACTACGAAAAAAGATTTAAAAAAATATTAATAATCAACAGAAAAAGTTTAAAAAAAAAAAATAATTTGATTAAAAAAGCTATAATTAGGCCAAAAAGTAAACAAGTGTTTAAAATTTTTTTTATTTACCTTTAATTAAATAATTTTTACTTAATTCAAAAATTGACCTTTTTAAAACTAAATGTGCTTTTTGATAAATAAAATTCCCTTTTTTTCTAATTTACATGAAAAAATGACTGCGATCCCTGAAATTTATTTTCATTATCAAATAAAAATTATTTGATTCAAGTAAATATTTATTTGCGATAATTGACAAGTAATCGAGTATTTAAATAAAATAAATTGTTTTCAGTGCATATTTCTCTATTTAAAATAGATCAGAAAAAATTTGTACAAATCTTTTAAAGTTAAAATATTTAATAAATTTTCATAGAAAAATATTTTTGCTTATAAATCGATAAAAGAGGTCAACTTTGCCAAAGAATAAATTGAACGAAATTTTTTTTTGCTTTAATATTTTTTCTTGAAACAACCATATTCTGAATCTCATGCAAAATAAAAAGAAATTAAAAGTATGTCCGTAAATTTTAAAAGCAAAAACCAAATAAATTGAAAGAATTTTTTTTTTAATTTTGCTTCAAATTTTAATTATTTATAATTAAAATTCTTTGTCTACAAATTTTTTTTTTTAAATTAACTCTAGTTAATTAAAAAAAATTGTGCTCGTAAAAATTATGAATAAACTTGAAAATAAAAATTTTGTTTTCCAATTTTTTGTTTAAAAAAAATGACAACATTTCAGCGTTATTAATTAGTTAAGAATTAATTTGTCTAATTGTAGAAGATAATAATTTTACAATAGAATAAAAATAATAAGAGTAGTTTTCTTGATAATTCGAAATAAAATTTTTGGTCAAGTGAAATTTTATGCGAAATGAAAAATTTATTAATTAAAAAAATAGGGAAAATTTGTGAAGAAATTCGCAGTTATATTAATGTTTTTTATGTTATTGTGTACAATGGTGAATTATAATTATAATTAAAATATAATTCTGATATAAACAATTCTAATTAAAATATAATTAAAGGATAATTAAAATATAATTTTTAATTTTTAATTTAAACAACAATTTTTTTTAACAGTTATAATTTAATTATAAATATAATTACAATAATATAGCTCAATTATAATAATTATAATTACTATATATATATTCTATAATTCTATAACGTTAAATATTTACGCGCATAAACTAATTATCGATCGATTAATTGACTTTCGTCTCATTTCGCTCTCTATATATTATTATTATTATTTTTCTATAACAAAATTTTAATTCGAATATCTATTATAAATTTGCACAACCTGCGAAGGATTTTTTTTCTTCTTTAAAATGCCCAAGATTCTTGTTTTTTTTTTTTTTTTTTTTTAATAATATGCCTTTTTTTGCGCTAAATAAGAGAAAATGTAGAAAATATTTGTAGTTTTATTTTTTTTCGGGGCGTCTGTAATTTTTCTTTTCTTTTTCACATCATGTACAATGAGAGTTGGCGCTTTATTATTGTGTACACTGTATAGTAGCATAAAATTCTTGTGTTTACTCGAATACGCCCTATACGTTATCGATTCGAGTCCCTGCAAAATATTTCACTTCAATTTTATATTGAAATAAAATTATATAATAGATCCTTTCTTTCTATTTAAATGCATATCATTTTTTCTATCATGATTTTTTTTATGTTTTATACCGTTAACAAAATTGCGACACTTCAAAGTCGAAGAATTTTTTTTGGAAAAATCTGTTTTTGTCTATTAGAACTTTTAAAAAAGGGAAAGTGAAAAAAAAATTTTCTTTACCTTATATTTATATAAATTTCCAGTAAAAAAATGTTCTATAAAAAATTATTTAATATATTAAAAAATGAATTCTCAATTAATTTGTATTAAATAAATTTTTTTTCACTTTGTGAATTTTTGTTGAAAATTGGTTTTTGCAAGTAACTTTTTTTCCCTAACACGATTTCCGTATTTTTGCGGGAGAAAAAAAATTATGCTTTAAATATGAAAAATTTGATTTGCACCACTATTTGGAAAATTTATATTTCAATTTCGAGAGTGTAATAAAAAATTTGTTTGCAAAAGAACTAGTGTAGTAAATTCTAGTTTTAGATGCCACCAAAAATCACGTGGTGTGAATTGTAATTGAGAATCAATAAATTTGATTTATTATTAATTTTTTTTTTCAATTTTAGAATTTCTTTTTCTTTTTATTTATTTCAGAATTTTTGTTTTACTTTCATTTTTCGATTTTAATTATAAAATTATTTATTCCAGAATATTTTCAATCTCTTTTTTAATTTCTTCTTTTTTTTTCGAAAATACGTATATTGTTTTTGGAATTATTTGACTTTCGGGAAATAACGCTAATTTGTTCATGAAAAGTTTAATATTAAAGTTGGAACTCAATTAAGAAACTTTAGTTCTCATTTAGTCTTTCTTAAGGTTTATTTTACTTTTTCAAGTTTGTTACGAACTTTAAAAATTATTTCCAGATTTTTAAAAAATTGTAGAGAGTTGAACATTTTTTATTTAAATCTTTCCTTTTTTTGGGAAGAAAAAAATTCTTTTCTTCTTTTTTTTAAACAAAAAAATTCTTTGATTTGAAGTGTTTGGAAAATTATGTTTAATAGAATTCAAAGTAATATTTAAAAGTTTAAATAATTCGTAAAAAAGTTATATTTTTTTTTTATTTTTGAAAATAAAATCAATTTTCAGTTGTGAAATCCGATTACTCGGCTAATGGGAAAAGAAAAAAAGAGAGGTTCGACATTATGAATTTTATATGTAACTACTTTGAACTTTGAATAACTTTTCTATTCACTGGAGCCAATTTGCAAAGGAGAGATTTTCGTTCTCTTGAATAATTAAAATACGAATCAATATTTAATACAAATTATTACGAAAAAAAATTTATTTTAATTTATTGCTTTCATAAATACCTATAAATAATTTCTGCGCTGAAAGCAATTTTTTTTTTGCAATTATCCTTTTTTTTCTCTACGTATAAAATAATATTACATTCTCTTATATAAACCGAACATATCACACAATATATTCATACATTTTATCTAAAAAAAAAAATGTCTATAATTCACGAAAAAAAATTTAATTAGCGACAATATTATTATTCACTACGAGTGTGAAATTATTATTTTGCTATTTATTTACACATATTATATCAAAATACAAAAAATTTTTTTTTTCTTTTTTGAAAATTGTAAGAAACATTGCGTTTAACAAAATTGATATTATAATGATTTAATTGTCAAATACTCACCGTATTATCGACTCGTCCTATTGTTATGTTCATTAATTGTAACTAAATCTTCTGTAAAAGAAAGGAATTTGAGCAAAAGTAAAAAAAGAACGCAGCCTTTAATTTAATCTATGTATTAAATACATGAGTTCTATTTGAAAGACACTTTTTAACACTTATACGAACGTAAAATGAGAAGAATGATTTTTTTTTATTTTAAGGAACGGAGGGGGGGCACTTTTTGACCATTATTTATTAATTTTTTTTTTTGTGGGGGTAACTTTTTATTATCGAATTCGAATTGGAATGTATAATTTCTTGTAATTATAATTTATGATTTAAAGGTTTTGAACGTTCAAATTCAAATGAATTTGAATGTCTAATTTTTTCTTAATTAATATTTTTAAATTGATTACAATAAAAAATAAAAATGTAAATTAAATATTTTTAAATTGAAATTTTTTTATAATCATTTTCAAACTGATTATAAAAAATATGAAAATTAGATAATTAAAAATAAAAATTAAATATTTAAAAATTTTTTTACGTGATGCAGAAAATAATTATAGTAAAATTTTAATTTGAAAACGAAATAAATTAATTTAGTTAAACGTTAAACGTTTGGAATTTTCGTTAGATTATAATTTCATAGATTTAATTATAATTTATGATCTAATTGAAATTCAAATATTTTCAAATTCCATTTTTTAGAATAAAAATAATTAAAAATGCGTATTAAATACTTTGAGAAAATTTATTATCTAATTTTTCCATACGTGACTGAAATGTAAAAATAAAATTCCAATTTTAAAGAGAAATTAATTTTCCATTGTTTGTACGTTCAGAACCTTTATAGGAACATAATTTCATATAATTATAATTTTTCATAATTATAATAAATATAAACTTTTTATAAAATTATAATTCGAAAGAATTTTTTCAACTTGAAGTAAAATCTATTTTTTCTCTTTTGTTGGTATTTTATATATTATTGGCTGTGGACGGAAGAATAGTTTCTTCATATTTTTTGCACAGCACTGTAAATAATCACATCACACTGCTCTTTATATATATATATATTTTTTTTCCATTGGTTCGTGAAATTTAAGTGACTTTTTCTCTCTATATATATAAAACAACTGCATTCTGGAAGTGACGAGATTTTTCTTCATTTGACTTCTTTTGTGTATTTGTTTGTTTATATGTGTTTGTTTTTTGTTTGTATTGTGTGTATGTTTTTTTACGTTTGTGTTTTCTGTATATTTATGTATAAAGTCGAATTCTATTTTTAAGGAGTGATATTTCCTTTTTCTCAGACATTTTCCACTATTGGCTGTTTCACTGAAAAATGATCTTTATCCGTATAGTAGTGAGACCATTTTCTCCCGTCGGGGCAAATCGAATTTCTCGTTGGCAAAAACATTGGATTATTGTCCAAACGGTTATATATTGTTTTTTTTTTCTTTCATCTATTCTTTTCTCTTTTCATTTTCTTCTCTCTCTCTTTTTTTTTTCTTTTATAATTCAATGATATCCGGCGCTCGAAATTGCACTTTACTGCAATACTTGACTTCCTGAACGATCTCGTTACCTCCTGATTTTTTGTCACTATTTTCATCATCCTCATCCTCCTCGGTGAGTTCCTCCAAGATTTTACCATCAAACGATTTTTCCTGATGTCGACTTGCAGTTGACGATTTTTTTTCACGAACCTCTCTCAGCCTGATTGAATGCCGTGGTTATTTATACCTGTAATATTGAGAAAGGAGAAAAAAAGAAGATTAATATTTGAAAAAACGATTTTTTTTGTCGTTGCTATTAGTTTAATTAATTTTTTGTATTGATTTTATTCGGGATTTTTTTTTTTTAATTAACGAGATTAATTTTATTTTATAGTTGGAGTTTTTTTCGTTGTGGCCTTTGGTCAAGAAATTACGATTTTTTATTGTATATATGTTATACAATAAGGTCTATAATATATTAAACAACTTTATTTATTTTATAATTACAAATATTGTTGAGAAATTAATCTTTAAATTATGTAATAGTAATAATCTCTCTTTATACTGTATATAGTGGTGTCATCAAATTACGGACATAATGTACCTTTTAGACCGCAAATATAATTAAAAGCAATTATCACGTTCCTTTTATTTATAGTGCATCTATGATCGATATTAAGTGTGAGCAATACACATTTTGTAATCTCGGATCTACCGCACGTAATAACGTAAAATATACTTAAAAATATTACAGCAAATATTTTACATTATTCTTTTTATGCAAAAGAAAAAAGAAAATTTTTATAATCTAAAAAAAAATTTAACTCTATTTATTAAATAAAATTGCATTTTTAATTTTATATTTATAGAATACTAAAATTATATTAATAAGAATTTTTTTTTCATACCCGCAATTTTGCATTTTTTAAAAATAAAAATACTGGTTATTGTGTAGAAAAAAATGAAAATATTTATTTTGAAACTTATTAATTATATTTCATTGAAAAAATAAAAAAAATTTTAAAAACGTTTTATTTTGTAAAAAATATTTTAAAGGAAGAATTCATAAGAATATTCTGAATTTTGTTGTTAAATTCTCTTTCTATTTTTACACGCAGAGAAAATTGATATTAAATTTTGTAAAATTATTTTACAAATTAGGGAAAAAGTGCAATAATGAGAAATTCTAATATAAAAAATACTAAAATTTAGAAAAACTAATAAGAAATTTAGTAAAGTTATATTAGAATTTAATAAATATTTTTGATATTTTGATATAAATATATTAAATTTCTCATAACTTTTCTTAAATTTCAATATTTTTTATATTAAAATTTCTCATTGTTGCACTTTTTCTCTAATTTGTAAAATACTTTTACAAAATTTAATATCAATTTTCTCTGCGTGTAACAATAATTGAACTTTACATATTTGAAATTGAATTTATTTTAATTTTTTAAATAATTTTGCGAATAATTTTATTTAAAAATTCAAAAAATAATTGAATTTTATAAAAGTTGATCTTTCAATTTTTGTAAAAAAAAATATACGAGTAACTAGAAAGACTGGTTATTTAATTTACTATAATTACATAAATTACAAAAATTTGTTATTTCAAAAAATCATCTTCAATTTTCAAAAAATTATTTTCAATGCAGTTTTAATTAAATTCGTCGAAAAAATTTGCAAGAATTCAATTATTTTCATGCGTATAATAAAACTCTTGCAAGAAAATAAGCAATTCAATTATTATTTTCAATATAATTTTAATAAAATTTCTCAAAAGAATTCAATTATATGAATTTAATTATATTTTCAATACATTTTTAATTGAATTTCTCAAAAGAATTTAATTATTTTCACAAATTTTAATAAAATTCTAGGCAAAAATTAAATTATTCCAGATTCAAAATTGTAAAAAGTCACAAAAATTACAAAAAGTAATATAAAAATTAATATAAAATGTTATTAAAAATGTCATATTTTAAAATAGAAAAAATTTTACATATGAAATAGTTAAAAATAAATTAATTCATAAATATTTATGCAATAATATTATAAAAAAAACTTATTCTCCAAAAATATAATTAGTAAATATTTGATGTAATTAAAACAGAAAGTGATTCGAAATTTCTAAAAATTAATTTTTTAATTCTAACTATTTTATTAAAATAAATAAAATTCTGTTTTTTTTGGAAAATAAATTTAAAAAATATTTTGTATTAATATCAATTCGTTTTTGTACACTAATTTATAAGTAACTATTTTTGTTTTAGAATTTTAAATTAATATTACTAACATTATTAATATAGATTGAATTTCAAAAAGTTTCAAAGTAAAATTTTAAAACAGTTTAAGTTTAAAAAAATTTTATTAAACATTTTGAATAAGTTTAACTTTAAAAAAATTTTATTAAACATTTTGAATGAGTTTAACTTTAAAAAAATTCTATTAAAAATTTTGAATAAGTTAGTTTTTTTGAAACATTTTTATTCACATTTTTTTAAAATTATTTTTATTTTCGAATGTATATTTAATAGAAAAATTTTCAAATTAATTCGGAATTCCATGAAATTATTTTGTAAACAAGGGGATTTTAGAAATATTTCCACAGTTTTTTCAAGGATATCAAATTGAGACAAAAAAAAAAAAAACGTAGCAAAATTGTTGCGAATCAACGTTTTGATACGTTTTTTGTCTCAATTTGATATCCTTGAAAAAACTCCGTTAGTTTTGGATGAACTTTTTTTGAAATAATTAATTTGTTGAATTTAAACGTTAAAGTTAAAGTTTTTTTTTGAAATAATTGGATTTTCAAAAAAAAAAAAAAAATAATAATCCAATTAGAGGAGAATTTTAGTTAAAATTTCTAGAAAATAATTGAATTGGTTAAAAATAATTTTTGAGAGTTTTTCTTTATGACCGGGAAAAATAATTAATGACTGGAAATTTTTTTTTATATATTTGACACTGTAGACATTTATAAATTTAGATGAAATTGCTTTACGTAAGCATCAATTTTAGTTGAAGAATGTCAAATTTAGCTTTGTTCACTCAAACACGTTTCAATTAATTATTGCATTGAAAGTTTGTTCAAGCTCTCTATGTGTATAGAGCCCGCAGTGTGTGTGTGGTTTCTCGACTTGCCGTAGATTAGAATCGGTTTTGAGAGCTTCATGCATTTTCTCTTAGTTTCGGTCTTTCGACCTTTCACAACCTTTCGACCTTTCATTCACTCAAAGAGTTTATTGGTTTGCTTCAGTATCACGTTCAGTACAATCAATTTATTCAATTAAGATATTATTATTTTCAATTCTTTGAAAAAGGCGAATAGAAACTTTATTTAGAAATAAAAAGACAAGAAAGTATAAAAATGTAACTTGTTTGTTCATTTCTTTTTAATAAATTTCAAAACATAAATATAAATAAATAATAATAAAACTACATAAATGTAATGTAATAATAGATTTTTCAATTAAATATATTAAATAAATTAAGTTGATTAAATCTTAAATAAACATTAAAATATTATATTATATAAGTCGATTCTATTGTTTTAATAATTTATTTGATTGAATGTACACAGAATGTAAGTAAATATTAGAAATCCGTGTCAGTAGTTATACTCCGTTTTCAAACAGACTTTTCTCATTTAATTGTGAATTAGTAGAGAAACGTGATTTCAGTCAGACGAACAATTTTTATTTCTTGTAAAATAGAATATTGGAAAAAGAATTTTGAGTTTTGTCAGACAGAATGTACTTTGTCATCACAGTAGTATAAATTAGTTTTTAATCAGACATTTTAAACTTGTAATTCGAATTTCAGTAGAAAAGTAAATACTTAGTCAGACAAATAGATTAAACTTCTTATAATTCTGCCCTGAGGATTAAAAAACCGATTTAGTCAAGCAAAACAAGTTAAGTAGTTAACAGTTTTCGTCAGACAAAAGTTATGATAATTATTTAAATTCAGTTATCAGTAGAGACAGTTACGTTTGGTCAGACAAATTTTCTAATTCAAAACCTTGAAAAAAATTTTCTATTTCTGACAAGAATTAATTTTTTAATATTATTTAATTATTACAAAAGTTTTAAAGCAATTTTCTTAATAAATACAATTATCTTTACAAACAGAAAAATTTTTCGCCAAAAAATTCAATTATTTTCAAAAAATTAAATAAAAATCGCTTTGCAAAAGTTCAATTACTTTCAAAAGTTTCTCGCAATTCAATAATTTTCAATATTTACTATTTTCATAAAATTTATCAACAGATTTAATTATTGAAAAAACTTTTTTGAGAGAATTCTACGAAAACATTAAATTATTTTCATAAATAATAAAATTTCATTTACAAATTCAATTATTTTCATCGCAGAATTTCAAATATTTTTAATACAATTTTAAATAAATTCCCTTAAAATCAATTATTATTCTAAGGTATTTTCAATAAAATTCTTTTCCAAAATTCAATTATCTTGATAAATATCAAAATTCATCACAAGAATTCATTTCTTTTAAAAAGTAATAAAATACTTTGCAGAAATTAAATTATTTTCAAAAGTTTTTAAAAATTTTCGTCAAAAATCAAATTTTCTTTATAAATAGATAGCGAAATTCTATTTTCAAGAATTAAATTATTGTCAAAAATTTTAATAAAATTCTTTGCAGAATTTCAATTATTGAAAGAAAATTTAATAAAATTCTTCGCATAAATTCAATTGTTTTCAAAAATTATTATTTAAATTCTTCTCAGGAATTCAATTATTTTTAAAAATTTTAATAAATATCGTCAAAAATTTTTCAATTATTATTTTCAATTATTTCCAATTATTATTTCAATTATTTTCTAAAATTGTTATAAAATTCTTTAATATAATAAATTTCATTAAAATGTTAAATTAAATTCCTTAAAAGAAATTAAATATTTTCGAAAGTTTTTATTACAATTCTTCGTAAATATTAAATTTTAAGTAACATTCAATTATTGAATAAATTATTTATTTTTGTATTTAAATAATTGAATTCTCGTAGAATTCAATTATTATTTTTCGTACTTGTAACTAACAATTCTGTAGAATTAATTTTTTTTCAAAAAGTTAAATTAAATAATAATTGATGTTATTGATTTAAAGTAGAATTTTAGTTAAAAATTCGAGAAAATGTTAATTGAATTGAAATTATAGAAATAATTTTGAAGAAATTACAGTAACAATATTCTTATAATAATAAAATTATGATTTTGTTAGTCGGTCATCTTTATGTTTTATAATAATATTCTTATGAGTTGTTCAATTTAAAAAGGTTTTGAATTTAAAATTTATGAAAATCTTAATTCCCATGTAATAATAATGATTAAATATTTATTTGAAATAAAATTATTGATGTTTTCGAATAATTCTAAAATTAAAGAAATTCGTGAATAAATGTCATAGAACATTTTTTTGTCAGAACGTACTTCTTGTTTTTTTATTTGAATATCAGTAGAAAAACTTTCGTTTGGTCAGACAAAGTTGCTGTATTCGTAAAATCCACAGTAGTAAAAATCAGTTTATCGTCAGACGTTTCAAAAATTACGTTTCGAATATAAAATTCGAATATCAGTAGTCAATTATAGTTTTGGTCAGACAAAAAATTGAAAAGTTGTGTAATTCAAGTATTTAAGTAGTATAAGTCAATTTTCAGTCAGACATCGATTAATATTTTTTTTGTCTAATAAAACATTTTTAGTCAGACTCAACGTTCATTTGAATATTCTATTTAAAAATTTAAATATCAGTAGAAAACTCTCGTTCGGTCAGACAAAGTTACTGTATTTTTTAATTATTTAAATTCACAGTAGTAAAAATTAATTTACAGTCTGACATTTCAAAAATTACGTTTTGAACAATAATTCGAGTATCAGTAGTAAATTATAGTTTCGATCAGACAAAATATTTAAAAGTTGTGTAATTCAACTATTTAAGTAGTAGAAGTCAGCTTTCAGTCAGACAACGATTAATATTCTTTTTTCTAGTAATAAAATCATTTTTAGTCTGACTCAACATCCCTCAGAATTTTTTTCTTTAAAGTTTGAATATCAGTAGAAAAACTCTCGTTCGGTCAGACAAAGTGGCTGTATTTTTTAATTACTTGAATTCACAGTAGTACAAATAGTTTAAAGTCAGACATTTCAAAAATTCCGTTTCGAACACACAGTTCGGTGAGGCATCAATTAACATACTTTTGTTTCTAGTAGTAAAAACAGTTTTAGTCAGACTCAACGTTTCTGTCAATTTTATATTCCGAAAGTAAAGAAAATCGCCTTCACAATGAGATTTTAGTGCAAATTTCAAAATTATCTAACAAATACTTTTTTAACGTGACACAGCAAATTTATAGCATAAGTGCAATTTTATTGACTGTATATTAAAACAGACAAATCCTTATTCGTTAGAATAAAAATCCAATAAATAGAATCAAAAGCATCAAGAAAAATACAAATAACAGTGTCACACAAAAAAAAAACTTTGAATGATTCTGGGTTGTATTTTATTTTCATTTTATTTTTCTGTGAGTAAACAAAAGGAGATGTTGAAAGGTGAAGAGGGTAAAAGAGAGGAAGAGAGAGAAAAAGAGAGAAAAAGACAAAAATAAAATGAGAGGGAATAGAAAAATTTTCCACTCGATTGATATTGTTTTACCAAATTTTGTCAATATTTTCCCTTCTTTTTTAGTTAATGCTTGCTTTTATTTTTTTTTAATTTTTTAATTTTTCTTTTCTTCTTTTTCTTTTTTTCTTTTTTTCCTTTTTGTATTTAGGTATATTTATTCTTACCTTTCGGGCCATGGACAGGATAAAATTCTGCAAACAGTGAGACCCAGGGCTGTTAAAAGACTCGCTGAGATAACTGTGTACACGACAAAAAGATGCACTATGGAGAAAATGTAGAGGGTCTTGTGGCACCATAAATTCGGCTCATAGAATGTGGGCGCAAAATCGGGCATTCGTATGCGAAGGATCCAATAATTTCCTGTAACGATAAATATTTACAAAATCCCCCCATTAATTATTTTGATAAAATTTATCAGCTTGAAAAAATAGTGTGAAGGGAAAAGCGTTCAATTTATTTCCGTTTTTTTGAATTACAATTCTTTAAATTATATTTGTATTTTTAAAAATTTTTTTCTTAACTTGTAAATTTATTTCTTACCTATATATTTTACTCATTTGTTTTAAAAAATTTTAGTTATGGAAACTTTTATTTTGCTTGTTCTCTAAAAATTTGTTTCTAAAAATTAGTTTTTTTTTATGTTTGTTATTAAAAATTTTAATTTGTTCTAAAAAATTTCTACTTGTTTGTTCTGAGAAAATGTTATTTCATTTTTTTCTCGAGAAATATAATTTGTAGAAAAAATCAATAATTAAAGTTTTTTTTCTTTTTGCAATTTTTCAATTTATAACTTGATTGTTTTCATAGAAGCAAAGTGTCAATTTACCTATGTGTTCAATAAAAAAAATTTCTTGAGATTGTATTTCATCACCACGTTTAACTATAGATAATTTTATTGATTCGATTCGAGAATAAATATATACAAGTATAATGTATAAGATTCCTGATTTCAAATACTTTGGTTTATTACTGAATTTTATAAAAATAATTATTCTCCCAAAAATTTGGAGCTTTCAAATATTTTTGAATCTACAAAATATTTTTTTAAAAATATTTTCAAAAATTAGCAACAGCAATAAAAATTAATATCGTAAGTTTTTATTTGAACGTTCAAAACTTTGTGGACTTAATTTTTGATATTTAATGGTATTTATAAATAAATAAATAAATAAATAAATTTTAAATTAAATAAAAATTATTTACAATAAAAAATCAAATTAAATTTAAAACATTAAAAATTATTTTTATTTTGGAAATAAACTCTCGCCTTATAATTGAAAAATATAAAGTGAAACTCGTGTGCAACTTTTATACGCACGATTTTTCGAAATTGGGTCATAGAACTCGAGATTTACATACATTTCTATTAAGTAAACTAGAAATCCCATCACGTAAGTTTACCTTAATATTTTGTTAATATTAACTCTATTTGCATTTCGCGTGTCGAATGATTATAGCACACATGAGTTAAAAAGAAAATTTTAATTCAAAAAGGAACTCGCAAAAAAAAGGAGAAAATAAATAAGAAAAAAGAAAAATGAAGGGAGAAAATACTCGTTGAACAATTTTTTGTGCGATAACAAAATGTGCGCATTGTAAGAAAATTTATTTCTTAATCAAAGTTCTACACAATTTAACATTATTTTGTCGAGAGTTATAGTTCAAGTTTATTATTATTGATCCAAGGAAAATCCAACATCTTTGGATTAATCAACTTCTTTGGAAATAAACATCAAAAACACTCAGTGTATGTCAGAGATAATAAAATTAAAGCAAAGTGCAAATTTACTTTCACTGAAATTGAAGGATAAAGAACACAGTGTATTTTATAGGGGAACAAAATTATTTTATATAGATTATATACGGGAATTCTCAACGTAAAAAAGTGGTAGGAAAAAGTTTATTTCAAAGTTCAAGACGATTTAACTTTTTTTTTTATTTCGCAAACGTGAAATTGTTTTTGAAAGAAATGTCCCTTTGATTCTATAAAGATACGAAAGAAAAAAAACGTTTTTAGAAAATGTTTTCCTATTATTTAATCAAAACTTAATAATAATAATTAGTAATTAATAATAATTATTAGAAATTAATAATAACTATCAACAATTCTTTTTAGGATAAAATTAGCGATTTGAAAAATAAACGAATTTGAAAATTTGTAATTCAAATTTTTGTTGAAAACACTAAAAAACATTCAATTTTGGAAAAATTACAAATAATTGCAGAAAATCAATTATTATCAAGAGTGATAAAATTCTTCTCATAAAATTCAATTATCTTTGAAATTTAAAAAAAAAATTCTCGTCAAAATCACAATTATCTTTATAAATAAAAAATTCTTTCCCAAAGTTCAATTATTTTCAAATTAATTTCAAATTCCCAAAAATAGTACGCAAACATTTAATTATTTTCATAAATAATAAAAATTTCACATAAATTCAATTATTTACAAATTTTTTATAAATTCCTTCGCAATAATTCAATTATTTTTGTAAATAATAAAATTTTTTCAATTATTTTCATAAAAAATAATTAAAAATTGTAGAAAATAATAATTGATTTGAAATTATGAAAAGAATTTTTAAAAAGTTAATGTAATAAAATTTTTATAATATAAAACAATGATTTTATCACTCGATCATCTTTAATTATTATAAAACAGGAAGATATCGATCACTCCGAGTCTTCGACTCGGAGCAATCGCTTTCTTCATGTTTTATAAAAATATTCTCATAATTTATTGAATTTGAAAAGATTTGAATTTGAATGTTTTGAAAAAATTTAATTCCCACGAAAAAATAATATTTATTTAAAAAAAAAATATTGATGTTTTCGAATAATTTTACAATTAAAGAAATTCGTAAATGAATGTAACAGAACATTTTTTTTTAAGTTAAAATTTTTTCCTATATTTTCTAAAAATTTAAAAAGTTTCAATTTCATTTTCAATTAAAATTTGTAATTGACAAATATAATATAATCTGTAATGTTTATTTTCCAGAAGAAAAGAATGAGTTACTGAACAATATTGTTATTGAGAAATAAAAATTATGCGTATATTTCCTATTTCTTAATTATAATTTTTTAACAATTAACAATTTTCTCTATATTTTTTTTATAAATAAAAAAGAGAAAAATTTTCATAATTTAGATCAGTCAAACGAAATTTGTTATAGACAAAAGCATATATATAATAAACAAAATTTATTTGTTAATCATAATTTTTTTATATTTTCTAATTTCAAATATTGTTTTATTTATAAATCATGAAAAAATACCGCTGCATATTTTCGATTTGTCTAACAATATTTTTTAAAGAAAATAAAAACAAAAGCATACACATACAAATATTTAAAAAAAGGATCAAAATTTTAGTCATAGTTTTATTGATATTATCATAAATTCACAAATCAGTAGTTTAAGTGAATTTTAGTCAGACAAGGCACCTGTAATTTGTTATCAAGTAGTAAATATAGTTTTTAGTCAGACATGATGCCTGTAATTTTATGTCAAGTAGTAAATGGAGCTTTTAGTCAGACAAGTAAATATTTATTTGAAATTAAGAAAGTAATTGTTTATTTGAATCAAATAAATTTTTTTAGCGTAATATTTTAAAAAGATTGTAATTTTCTTTTCTATGTAATGTAATATTTAATACTCTCGTAATAAAGAAAAGAAATTTTTTTTTAATAAAGTGCTAAAAGAGTTATATATAGTTATATATTATATTATATTATATATATTAGTTTTTATATTTTTATTAATTATAAAGAAATACTAACAAAATGAGACTAATGGAAGGAATTTTATTTTTTTGTTACAGGTGAGTCCAAAAATTCGCTGTGTATATTAGATCATAATTCAATGTCCCCCAAGACGATAAAAGTGCATCAACGAGTCACGTAAGCAATTTTTATTTATAATAACAATAGTTATAAGGCAATTTTTTTGAAAACTTATTAAGAAATTATTAAAATTTTATTAAGACAATTATTTTGAAGTTCTGACGATGTTACTATCATTAGTTCCAGTCAATTTTATTCAGACATAATGTCTGTGTTTCCCAGTAGCAAAAGTCAGTTTTTGTCAGGCAATAACTATTAATTTAATTGCTAATACATTATCAGTAGTGAGAATCAATTTTAGTCAGACAGGTTATTAGCAGTTTTTTTTCAAGTAAAAGTTTTCTTCAGGCAATAGATTTTAATTTATTGCTAATTCATTGTCAGTAGTGAAAATTAAGTTTAGTCAGACAGGTTATTTGCAGTTTTTTCAAAGTAGTATAAGTCAACTTTATTCAGATGTGATTCCTTCAGATTTATTTCAGTAGTAAAGAACGTTTTAATCAGACACTTTAAAATTTTTATCATTTCCTTATCAGTAGTTCAAGTCAACTTTATTCAGACTTTATTTCAGTTGTAAATACAGTTTTAGTCAGACTATTACTTTGAAATTATTTTAATTTCATTTTCAGTAGTTTAACTTAATTTTAGTCAGACATGATTTCTGTAATTTTTCTCGGTAATAACTATATAGTTTCAGTCAGAGGGGAAAAAATTCTTGTAACTACTGTATTGGGGATCAAAATTAGTGTCTTAAATGTTCTCTAGTTCACTATCAGTAGTAAAGTTCAATTTAAGTCTGACATGTTACCAATAATTTTTTTCAAGTATTACAAAACGTTTTAGCCAGACAGTTTCTTAGAATTTCTTTTAATTTAATTATCGAGTAGTTTCAGTCAATTTTAGTCAGACAGAATGTCTGCAATTTTCACATCGAAAAATGTCAGACAGTTAATTTATTAATTTATGTCAGACAAACTAGTAAATGTTTACTAGTTCAGTGACAGTAGTAAGTAAATTAATTAATTAATTAATTAATTAATTAATTAATTAATAATAATAATAGTAATTAATTAATAATTAACTAATAAGTAAATAAGTTAGTAAATAAATAATTTTTTCAACACTCATATTATTCAAGAAAATAATGAAAACAATTATGAGAAGAGAAGGGACAATTTCTGCAAAATTAATAAACAAACTCATCTACCCATTGTTTGTTTCTCCATAAATTATCATTAATGGAAAATTATAAGCAGACCTCATGAATATTAAACGAGACACTTGCGTAATCTTATTATAATAAAAATACGTCCATATTAGAATGGCAAAGGCGCATTTTGTGATAATATGCAAAATGCAAATTTCATGGAAATACCTTTAGCAATTTTCTCAGAAGGAAGGATTCCTTTCCTCTATCTCTGTCTCTCTCACTCTCTTCTACTGGTTCAGAGTAAAACTCACTTTACGTTATCTGACTGATAGATTAGACTTTTATCTGGATAATAAATTTACAGTTGAGCCGATGAGATTGCCCGTGAATCGAGTGACACACGAGTGCACAGATTAATCCTGAATTCTCATTTACTTTGTAATTTATAGTTTTTGAGGATGGTTTCAACTTTTATACGATTCTTCTACGATGTAAATTTACATTAAAGTCGACTTCAAGAGTTGCGGCATTTTCAATTTCGATTGAACTGTAGGTAAAAATTTATTCCTAAAGTTCTTATACATAGATAAAGATTTGAATGAATGGAATATATTTGTTTTTTTTTTAAATTAAAATTGTGTCACAGTTATTAAAGGATAATTAAAACAAAAACAAAAAATTAATAAAAAAAATTGAAAAAAATAAATATAATTTGTAAATGTTTCAATTTATTTTTCAATTTATATTTCGTTAATAGAAAGTGTCTACAACTTTCTGAACTTTCTTTCTTTCTTTTTTATCGTGGAACAATTCTTAATATTGTCAAAGAGGAAAATAATTTCTGCGTCAGTAGTAAAGGTCTGTTTTTAATGAGACTTTTTCATTTTATTGACAACTAGTAGTAAAAGATGTTTTTAGTCAGACGAAATATTTTTAATTCATGTAAAATAGAATATTTCATTGTCAACTTGTAGTAAAAGATGTTTTCAGTCAGACGAAATATTTTTAATTCCTGTAAAATAAAATATTTTATTGTAAACTAGTAGTAAAAGATGTTTTTAGTCAGACGAAATATTTTTATTTATTGTAAAATAGAATATTGGAAAAGTGAATATTAATCTTCGTCAGACAGAACGAATTTTGTTATTATACAGTAGTATAAGTAAATTTTTAGTCAGACATTTTTAAACTTGTGACTAAAGTATCAGTAGAAAAATACCCACTTAGTCAGACTTAATATATTTTATCTTTTTAGAACTCTGCCTTGAGTAGTAAATACCTTATTTAGTCAGACAAAATGCGCCAATATTGTTCACAGTAGTAATAATCAATTCTTAGTCGGTCATTTCTATCTCAAGTTACAGAAACAGTAGTACAAACTAGTATTAAGTCAGACACGTAAAATAAAAAATTGTATTCTCAGTAGTAAAGGATGATTGCAGTCAGACAAATGGTTTTTTTGATTCAGTAATTTGAAAAATAGTAGAAAAAATCACTTTCGGTAAGAAAATTTTTGTGTAATTTCTTTCGTGTAATTTCTTCTAGTGAAGTCTACAGTAGTTAAGTCAGTTTCTCGTCAGACATATAAAATTTATAATTTCGAATATTGATGGTAAAATAGTTTTTAGTAAAGTGAAACATTTTTTATTTTAATTATATAAGATTTATATAATGATAATTTAAAAATGTTCTTAACTGATTTCTGTTATTATTTTAAATATCAGTAGTGAATGTTATACGTTCGTCAGATGGATTTTAATTTTTATAATATTTGATTATAATGAAAATGATATTTTTTCTGAAAGCTAGAATTTCTTGAATCATATTGTATTGCAAATAGCAGATTAAAAATTGCAAAAAGAAAACTTACAACTCGAAATATATGAGGTAAAAGGACAAAAAAAAATTTTTTCTTTTACATGTCAGGATAATGTTCGTGTGTGCACTTTTATATATTTTGATGGTACTGATAGATAATAATAATTCTTTTCACTATATAACACAATTATGGTCTTAAAGCACGCAAGATTTTTATGTCAAGAGAAGCGTGTTCTGTAATATATTGTTAATAAAAAATTACCCCCTTTTTAAAATTAATATTTATTATTATATTAAAATTCACGCAGTTTTATTATTATTATTACCATTTTTATTATTATTATTTTTATTATTATAATTTTTATTATTATTATTTTTATTATTATAATTTTTATTATTATTATTATTATTATTATTATTATTATTATTATTATTATTATTATTATTATTATTAATATTATTATTATTATTTTTATTGTTATTACTTTTATTATGAATATTAATATTTTTATTATTATTATTATTATTATATACACACACGTACATATATATACAGAAAAAATTTATTATGTATGCGAGTATATAATAAATCAACTTTTGGTGCAATAGCTGTCGATTTTTTGAACACACGCATTGAATGAATGCGCCTGGGAAAAGGCAAACTGATGTTTTTATGTGTATTAAAAGAGGAAAAGTGTGCTGTCATAGCAACTTTTTAAGAGTTAGACGACTTATCGATTTATGCAGTTTTACGCCATAAAATCTTGTCATTTTCAACGAATTTTTCAATTTCTATCGTTAAAGTACTAAAAAAAAGTTATAATATCATAAAAATATTCCAGCTTTACTTTAATAATATTCCATAAGAAAATAATTTCCAGTGAAAAACAATCTTAAAAATTTGTTTTTCACATATCTACGATTGAAATATTATTATATTATTTTGTATTGATGTTAATAAAATATCGTCAAATAATAAACCTTTTTATTTTATATTTGACAAATTTAATGAATATAAACAATGTGTTCTATTATAATATGAAATATTTCAAAATGCTTAATTTCAAAATACTTAAGTATTTACAAAAGTTGAAAAAGAAGGAAATATTTGTTTTATTAAGTAATTTATTTATTTATCTATGAAAATATTTTTAGTTATTTTTGAATGAAAAAGAATTTTTTTCAAAAATTTTTTGCAGATATTTACCAGTCGGTTCATAGTTAATTCATTTGAATTTGTGAATAATAAAAGTTTTAATAAATAATTTCAAATATTTTATTCATGACTATTTTTTCAAGCGTAAAAAATAATGAAATTGAATAATAATCGATGAGAATGAAAATATAAAAAAAAAATTAAAAAGTACAATTTAAGTAAATTTTACTTTATTTTTTATTATTTCATTTATTTTCACTCGCAATTTTGTATAATTATTTAAAATTAAAAATTTTTATTAATTAAATTAAATTTTATGTAACGTGATAAATAATTAATATTTATTAATTAATTAATTATTAATAATAATAATTATTATAATAATAATAATTAGTCATAGTTAATAATTTGTTTAATTGAACTTACTTTCAATTAATTGCTATTAATAATTAATTTTCGATAATTTTGATTCTATATTTTTTATTTAATTAATTACAGAAGTTTTAATTGAATTTTAAATATTTAATTATATAAAAACTTTAATTAAATTTTTAATAGTTAATTAATTAAAAACAAATTTAATTAAGTAAATTATTAAATTAAATTAAACTATTAATTATTAACCAGAAATTAAGTGAGTAAATATTTAAGATTGAAATCTTACCTAAAACGAACCAACCAGCAAGGAAGCACGAAAGAAGAATGGAGGCCAGTTTTGTGGGTGACACATGAGATCTGACCCCAGGAACTGTTAAAACTTCCGGTCTCCTTGAACGAATTTGTGTGTATAGTGTCCAAAACATACGAACACTACCCAAAATCCCTCCAACGACCATATAAATTGGAATATTAGGCTCCCTTGGACAATCCCTGATGAATTGAACTCCTTGAGGGGCAAAAAATTATTTGACATATTTCGCATTAGTTTAATTTTTTTCAACTCACAACTTTTTTTTTTTTATTTTGTATCTCTTTCTTTTCTCTATTTTAATATTATTCTTCCTGTTCTCGAGGGAGAAAAATTCTATTGTAAAAAAGATTTTATTCTTTACAAAGTTTTTCCAAAGAATTTTTTTGTTAACAATTTGTTTGTTCGTAAATATTTTTGTCATTTTAGAAGTTTTCTTTTTTCCTGTTTTTCCCATTTTTTATCACCTTAAATTAATAAAATCCCCTAAAACAGATAAAATCATAAATTTTCTCTTCTTTCCCCCCTTATTTTTGAGAAAAACTTATAAAAATTGTAATTTTTTGTAAACGTTTGAAAAATTTGTAGCAAAAAATTTTTCCTTTTCGTAAACTTTGGAAAAATTTTAGTTTTTTGAAACTTTAAAACTTTTTAGATTTTAGAACATTTCATAAAGAATTTTTTCTCTTTTTCCTTTTGTAATTTTTAAATTTTCTTTTTAAAATCCTATGTAAGTAATATTTTCAAAATATTTATAAACTATTTTTAAAAATATCCCAAAGATGAGATATATTAAAAAATACAATAAATTAGAAAAAGTATAATTAAAAAAAAGTATAAATTAGAAAAAATAAAAAGTTAGAAAAAATTTTATTTATATACCTAATTTAGAGAATTTTAGAGAAATTACAAATAATTGCAGAAATTCAATTATTTTCAAAAGTAATCAAATTCTTCGCAGAAATTCAATTATGTTCAAAATTTTTTTAAATTCTCATGAAAATTTCAATTATCTTTAGAAATCATTAAATTCTTCTCTAAAATTCAATTATTTTCAAAAATTTTCCTCAATTCAATGATTTTCAATATCTACTATTGTCATAAAATTTTCCAAAAGAATTCAATTATTTAAAAAAAAAAATTAATAAAATTCTACACAAACTTTTAATTATTTTCAAAAAATAATACAAATTTCACAGGAATTTTATTATTTACAAATTTTTTTTATAAATTTCTTCGCGCAATGATTCAATTATTTTCATAAATAATAAAATGTTTAAGGGGATTCAATTATTTTTGTAAATAAAAATTCTCTTTTGGAATTCAATTATTTTCATAAATAATAAAACTCATTGCAGAATTTAAATTATTTTTAATACAATTTTAATTGAATTCCTCGAAAAAATTCTTAAAAATTTTATTAAAATTCGTCAAAAGAATTCAGTTATTTAAAAATTTATAGATAAAATTCTTTATGAGCATTCAATTTTAAGATACATGAAAAACATGAAGTTATTGAAAGAATTGTTATTTTTGCATTTAAATAATTAAATATTCTAGTAGAATTTTTTCATAAACATTGATTTAAAAATGGATTTTAGTTAAAATTTTAGATTATAATTGAATTTTAAAAGCATTAAAGAGTAAATTTTTAGAAATAATTGAATTTTGAAAAGGTTTCGGATTAAAATCTTTGAAAATTTTAATTTTTCATATTTTTAACTAACAATTCTGTGGAAGTTTTTTTTTTTTTTTGAGAAACTCAAATTGCGGATTTTTTTGTAATTATTTAGAGTTTTTATTTTCTATTATATATATTTAATTGAAAAATTTACGAATAATTGAAATTTTGTAAAATTGAATTGTAAACAAATGGATTTTTGCCAGTAATTGGTCCGTAATTTTTTTTATTTTCGGTCCGTAAAGTCCGTATTTTTAAATACTTTCACTGGTTCGATCCCTAAAAATACAAAGTGTAAAAAATTAGAAAAAATGGAAAAAAAATTAAAAAATATTAAATATTAAAAAATTTAAATTTAAAAAATATTATAGGGGAAAAATATAAATTTCAAAAAATTATAAAATATTCATGAAATATAAACGAAATATTTTAGAAATGCGAATAAAAATATTTTCTTCTTTAATCTCCCCCAATAAATTTATAATTTTCCTACACTGTAAAAAAAGGGAGTTAAATTTTAACTCCCCCGGGGGGTCTATAAAAGTCGCACCCATTGGAGAGTTAATGCCAGGGGAGTTAAATAAAGAGAGTTAAAATTTCACACCCAAATGCTAACTCCCCAAGGAAAAAATAACTCGCGCGGGTGTTGAATGAAGGGAGTTAGAAATTAACTCTCTTTTGGAGTTGAATTTTAACTCGAAAAATTTAACTCCCAACTCCCGAGTCCGTTAACTCCCTAAATTTTTTACAGTGTATAAATAAATTTTAATCTAATAAACAATTAAATGCAATATGCTTACCGAGAATCAGCATTAGAATCGGCATTGTCGATAAACAAGCCAAACAAACGGTAACAACCATTGTTTTGCTGACAACTCTCAAAGCTCTACAAATAAAATCACACGTTCCATTGGCCTCCAAATTAGCATCTTTGAGTTGAAAAACCAAAGATCCATAAGCAGCAACTCCCAATGGTGCTGCACTTGTACTACCTTTTTTCGTCAAATCAGCACTTCCCGTTACACACAATCTTCGCGATTCATCGCCTGAAATCTAAAAGAGAAAAAAAATGACATCAAAAAATTTCCCCTCATTTAACTATATGTCAGCTCATTAGGAAAAATACACATAAAATGTGTGCCATAAAAAAATTTATAATGAAACTTTTTTTTTCTCTTTTTATTTGCTAAAAATATATGTCTCTTATGATTCAGTAAACGAAAATCTCAGTGAATCCAAAAGGTTTTACGTTCTTTACCGTATAGGTCTAATATAAAAAGGGGAAAAAAATATATCACGAGCTATAAAAATTGTATATATACCAATTTGACCTGAGTAATCATCTTTTCTAACTTTCTCTCTCTCTCTCTCTCTCTCTCTCTCTCTCTCTAGTTTTTTGAAGTGGAAACTATCAAAAAAAAAAAATTTTTTTATATGCACTTAATAAGTTCTGAGAAAAATTTTTATATAATATACTAGAAAATGAAATCTTTTTTAGTGATCAATAAAAATGTGATATGCGAAAGGAGAAAAAATTCTCGAGGAAATGTTTGGCAAAAATTTTTGCATGTAGGTCGAAAATGTTATTGAGTAAAGTTTTCTTTTGAAGTGATTAGTAAATATAATGTCAATTTAAAATATTTTTGATTAATTACCTTTTTAATTAATTTCGAAAATTTCGCTTCTTGTTCATGTTATGAATTTAATATATTCTTTGGATATATTTTTTTAGAATTATATATATTTTCCATTTTATTAAAATCATAATAATAAAGCAATTTATAAAGCCATGTAATTTTATTTAAATGAAAGTATATAAAATAAATTTAAATAAAATAGGTAATAAAATAATAATATAATATATAATAATAAAATATTAATAATAATACGTAACAATAATAATTAGTAAATTAAAATAGTTAGCAACAATTTACTATATTAATCTCCGTATTAATAAATATATAAATTTAAAAAAATTATGATTAACAAATGAAAAATATACCCATTTTGTTTATTATATATTTTTTTCTATAAAAAATTTTGTTTGACTGATGTAAATTATGCAAAATTTTTCTCCTTTTTATTTATATAAAAAATAGAAAATTGTTAAAAAATTATTATTATTAAAAAATAGGAAATAGGAAAACCCATTTTATGCATAATTTTTATTTCTCAATAACAATATTGTTAACAAAGTCATTCTTTTATTTTGGAAAAAAAAACATTACATATTCCCGTTTCTTAATATTTTTATAGACAATTTTCAATTTTCATAAGGAAATAATTTACTTTTTCAATTTTTAGAAAATAAAGGAAACAATTTTACTCAAAAAAATTTTTTCTGTTACATTTTTACGAATTTCTTTCATTGTAAAATTATTCGGAAACATCAATACCTTCTTTTTTTAAATAAATATTTAATTATTATTATTTTTCCACAGGAATTAGGACATTCAAAAATTTTAAATTTAAACTTTTTTGAAATTAAATAACTTATAAAAGTATTGTTATAAAACATGAAGACATAAAATAATTAAAAATTAAATTAAATATTTATGAAAATAATTGAATTATTGCGAAGAAATTTATAAAAAAAAATTGTAAATAATTGAATTCCTGTGAAATTTTAGTTATTTTCGAAAATAATTAAATGTTTGTGTACAGTTTTATTAATTTTTTTTTTAATAATTGAATTCTTTTCGGACATTTTTTTTTAAAATAGTAGATATTGAAAATAATTAAAGTTAGGACAAGAATTTTATTGTCATTTTTGAAAATAATTGAACTTTGGGGAAAAATTTTGTTATTTACAAAGATAATTGGAATTTTGACGAGAATTTTTTTTTACTTTTGAACATAATTACATTTTGTGAGAAGAATTTTATTAGTTTAGAAAATAATTGAATTTCTGCAATTATTTCTAATTTCTTCAAAATTGATTTTTTTTTAATGTTTTCAACAAAAATTTTAATTATAAATTTTTAAATTCTATTATTTTTAAAATTTGCTAATTTTATTTTAAAAATGAGATAAAAAGTTAGGTAATTGTTGCTAGTAATAATTAATATCAATAACTAATTATAAAGAATAACAATAATTAATAATAATAATAATAATTAATTAATATCAATATTAATTATTAAAACTATAATTAATTTAATAAAAAATATTTTTGAAACGTAAGATTTCAAATTTTGTAATTGTTAGTATCAGTTAATAAGATTTTGTCTCCGACACATAAAAAGTTTTATATTCATGTAATTTACTGTGAGTAGTAAAAGTCAATTTCCGTCAGACAAGTTGCTTGCGATTTCGTAAAAGCTGTAAAAAGTTAGACTTCACATTCTTGCGATTGAAACATCCGGTTTCAATCAGACAATAAGTTTGAAAATCTTGGGATTTCAGTATCAGTAGTAAAAGTCAATTTCAATCAGACAGGATATTTGTGATTTTTGTCACAGTTATAGAGGAGAGAGAGAGCTCAATTAAAATCGTTCTTTTCTTTCTTTTTTATTAATCAGACTTATCTCTTATTACTGTTATTAGGTAGAGAAAATAATTTTTGTCAGATAATATTTTTTTAAATTCTTAATGCCAGGCAGTGAATTTTTTATTAGTCATTATTAATTAATTGTTTCCTCATGGAGAAAGTATTTTTGTTATTTATTACAATTTTTGTCATTAGAATTAAATTTCTCTATTAAAATATTTTCGTGATAATGAAAAAATGCTATTTTTTTAGTAGTAAAGAACGATTTAGTCAGACAGATAGTTCGAAAAAATTGTAATTTTATTATAAGTAGTTCAAGTCAATTTTATTCAGACTTGACAACTGGTTCAAATCAACTTTAGTCAGGCAAGGTTATTAAATCTATTAGTTCAATAATTTAAAAATTTTTTTTAGGGTGTATTATTAAAAAATGATCGCTGTATTGAACAAAAGTAATTTTTTCGTAGTAGTCACTACAATACTTGAGGCATTTTTATTTTTATTATTTCGAAAAAAATTATAAAAACGAGAGTAAAAGAAGAAATTTTCTTTTTGTTACAGGTGAGTCAAAAATCCATTGAATATAAGATCATAATTCAATGTCCCTTAAGAGAAGAGTGTTTCAACTAAGTCAAGTAAGAAATTTTTATTTATAATAAGAATAATTATCACAATTGTTTTTTTAAAAAGGCTTTATTAAAAAAATTATTTTGAAGTTCTCATTATATGACTATCAGTAGTTTAAGTCAATTTTAGTCAGACTTGACGCCTGTAATTTTATTTCAGTAGTTACTGCAGTTTACTAAGTATATAAATTTTTTTTTGTGGCAACCCTGATTATTTACAAATTATTTCCATAAATTATTATTCAATGATTTTCATGAATAATAACATTTTTTTACAGGGATTTAATTATTTTTATAAATACATAATAAAAATCATCACAGACTTGAAATTATTTTTAATTTTTAATACAATTTTAATGACGATTGAATTTTATTTAAATTTAGCAAAGAAATTCAATTATTTCAAAAACTTTTGTTACAATTTATTTATTACAATTTAAGTATTATTTTCAAAATACATTTTTAAATAAATTTCTTAAAAAAATTGAATTATTTTCATAAATAATGAAATTCTTTGTAACAATAAATTTTTTTTCAAAATAATTTTCATAAAATTCTTCTTGGAAATTTAATTTATTTCAAAAATTGTCAAAATTCAATTATTTTCAATGTCTACTATTTCAATAAAATTACACAGAAGAATTCTATTATTTAGAAAGAAATTTTAATAAGATCTGTCTTAAGAATTCAATTATTTTCCAAAATAATATAATTTTTCGTACAAATTCAATTTTGTTCAAAAATTTACAAAAGTTTTCGTCAAAATTTCAATTATCTTTATAAATATTACAATTTTTCTCAAAAATTCAAATATTTTCAAAAATTTTAATGAAATTCTTTTTAATAAATTCAATTTTTTTTTTAAATTCTCCTCCATTCAATGATTTTCAATATCTACTATTTTAATAAAATTTTTCACAAGAAATGAATTATTTTAAAAAATTTTTTTGATAAAATTCTAAGCAAACTTTTTATTATTTTTATAAATAACAAATATTTCATAGCAATTCAATTATTTACATCATCGAAAAATGTAATTATTCTTAAAATTTTATTAAAATTCGTCAAAAGAATTCAATTATTTAAAAATTTGTTCATAAAATTCTTTATGAGAATTTAATTTTAAGAAACATTCAATTATTTAATAAATTATTTATTTTTGTATAAAAAATAATTAGGTATTTAAAAAGAAATATTATTAAAAAATTCGTCTCAAGAATTCAATTATTTTCAAAAGTAATAAAATTCTTCGCAGAAATTCAATTATGAATTAAAATTTTAAAAAATTTATTGTCAAAATTTCAATTATTTTTATAAATATTAAAATTTTTCTTGAAAATTCAATTATTTTTAAAAATTTTAATAAATAATCTTGGCAATATTGCAATTATTTTCAAAAATTTTAATAAAATTCTTGTCAAAATTTCAATTATTTTCAAAAACTTTTCTCATTTCAATTTTTTACAGAGATTCAATTATTTTTAATAAAATTTTAATCTAATTTCTCGAAAAATGAAATTATTCTTAAAAATTTTATTGAAATTCTTCAAAAGAATTTTAATTACCTATTTAAAATTTGTTGATAAAATTCTTTAAATGAGAGTTGAATTTCAAAAAACATTTAATTCTTCAATAAATTATTTTTTTTTTATTTAAATAATTGAATTGTTGTAGAATTTTCCAATTAAAAAAACCTGGAAAAGTCAGGGAATTTGAAATGAGCAAAAGCGTGGCAACCCTGAATTTGTAAAGTTCATTTACATTTGAAATAGTTTACGAATGTATACAATTTTTCAGCTACTAATTCAATAAACAAAAAACGTAAATTTTTCAAAATTTGTTTATCTCTATTATTTATTACTATAGTAGTAAATTTATTTCGCGATACAATTTTATAACCAGATAAGAAAACACAAACACAAAAAGATAAAAAAAAATAATGATTAAAAATTTAATTTTCCCTTAGAATGTAAAGTAAACTTTTATTTAAACATTATCTGCGCAACACCAGTCACTTTAGGGAACAGAGAATATTTTACTTTCCTTTTTTTCTTTTTTTTTCTCTTTTTTGTTTCCAAGTCCTTGGAACTTTACTCAACTCTGAATAATTTACCTGAGAAACTGAACTGCTGGCTCTTCTAGAATCAGCCCATGCATTTGTTCCATAACCGAGGTTCACTTGAGCTGTTCCACTTCCGCCGGATCTTATACTTCCGGAATTTGTCTCCTTTTGACGATACGGCGAACCACTGCGATTTTTTGTCGTACCTATTTATGAACATAAAGAGAAAGAAATTACGAAAAAATTTTCAAAGAATAAGAGATAAAGTTACTAAAATATATTTGTTTTATATTATATATGAAGGGGGTGGGAGAGGGTGAGAGGAAAACAGAGATTTTTATGACAGAAAGTCATCTGGAAAATACGTTTTATTCCCTTGAGTCGAAGACTTTTTTTTTCATTTTTCGTTCTCTAGTGCACTCTCCAATATCAATAGTTTTTTTTTTCTTTTCCTATTCTTTTTATTTCTTATGGTTCAAACCGCCGGACTTGAAAAAATTTCTATTTTTTGAAAATTGAAATTGAAAAATGTCCTTTTCTCTAAAATGAAAATTGTTCTTTTAATATTTTTTTTAATAGGGATTTTATATTCCTGATTTATATTAATTCCTTTTTTTTAAAGAAATATTATAATTTAGTAAAAAATGTGTCATTCACTTGTTGAATTATTGAAAAATGCATTATATTGAACTACTTTGTTGAATACATTTTTTTATTGGCTATTATTGTTTAAAAGTTTACTCCTGTAACTTTCATTTAGTTATTTTCTTTTCTAGTCATTTTTTTATATTTACTCTATAAAAGTGGCAAACGGTTAGATTTTAGATTATTTTTTCCCCTTAGCCTTTAATCGAAATTGTGTTCATAAATCTCTTTTATCATCGAGATTATATTTGTAACCAAGAAAGTTATTTTCCAAATTTTTAAACCCTATTTCGAATTATATTTTGTAGCTGACATTAGGTTTTTATTCATTTATTTATAATTTATTCTCTCTGATGAAATTATTTACTCCTTATCTTTACGATAAACAGTATTAAAAAAGTGAAATTAAAATTATTCTAAAAATAACCTAAATTTTGATAATATTTTCAAGACAAAAATTTAAAAAAATAGTAAAATTATTAAAATTACTCTAAAAGTATAATAATTTTAGAATTTATAAGAAAATTTTGAATTTTTGGTCTCTTCTTTTGTTTGATTTATAAACTGTAAAATTACCACTAATTCTAATAAAAGCTTTTTTCTATTTCTCAAGAAATAATTTACTTTAAATAATTTAATTCTTAAAGAACTATTATAAAATTATTACTTACAAATAATATTTAACGAATAATTTTACTTAAACATTTCAAAAATAATTGAATTTTATAAAAGTTGCGTTTACATTTACAATTTTAACAAATAAATAAAATTTCAAAAGTTTTCAATTTGAAAATTTAGAAAATATGAATTTTAAATGAATCTAATTAGAAATTTTAAAGAACTTTAATTATTTTCAATAAAATTTCTCGAAAGAATTCAATAATTATTAAGAGTTTTTTTTATAAATTTCTTGTTGGAATTCCAATTATTTTTAATTCTTTACAGGAATTCAATTATTTTCAATATAATATTTAATAAAACATCCGATTCAATTATTCTTAAAATTTTTTATAAATTTCTTTGCAGAATTTCAATTATTTTGAATTTTTTGCATGAATTCAGTTATTTTCAATCAAATTTCTCCGAAGAATTCAATTATTATTAAATGTTTTGATACCATTTCTTTGCAGAATTTCAATCATTTTCAATTATTTGCAAGAATTCAATTATTTTCAATAAAATTCCTCAAAAAAATTTAATTATTCTTAAAATTTTTGATAAATTTCTTGTCCGAATTTCAATTATTTATTCAATAAAATTTCTCGAAAGAATGAAATAATTATTAAATTTTTTTATAAATTTCTTGTCAGAATTCCAGATATTTTAGATTATTTGCAAAAATTCAATTATTTGCAATACGGAATTTCAATTTTTTTTTTTAATTTTTCACATTTATTTATTTATTTATTAATATGCATTCATGGATTTAGTTATTTTTCATAAAATTTCTATATAAAAATTCAATTGTTCTTAAATATTTTAATAAATTTCCACACAGAATTTTAATTATTTTGAATCTTTCGCATAAATCCAGTTATTTTCAATCAAATTTCTCGAAAAATTTCATTGTTCTTAAAATTTCGATAGATTTCTTGATATAATTTCAATTATTTATTTAATAAAATTTTTTGATAGAATTTACTAATTATTCAAATTTTTTACAAATTTCTTGGCAGAATTCCAGTTCTTTTAAATTATTTGCAAAAATTCAATTATTTTCAATACAGAATTTCAATTGTTTTGAATTTTTTTGCATGAATTTACTTATTTTTAATAAAATTTCTATATAAGAATTCAATTGTTCTTAAATCTTTTGATAAATTTCTTTACAGAATTTCAATTACTTTGAATTTTTTGCATGAATTTAATTATTTTTAATAAAATTTCTCATCAGCATACAATTATTATTAAATATTTTGATAAATTTCATTGCAAAATTTCAATTATTTCTCGAAAGAATTTAATAATTATTCAAATTTTTTACAAATTTCTTGTCAGAATTCCAGTTATTTTAAATTATTTGTAAGAATTCAATTATTTTCAATACAGAATTTCAATTGTTTTGGATTTTTTGCATGAATTTAGTTATTTTTAATAAAATTTCTATTTAAGAATTCAATTGTTTGGATTTTTCGCATCATTTCAATTATTTTCAATAAAAGTTTTTAGAAGAATACAATTATTATTAAATATTTTGATAAATTTCTTTGCAAAATTTCAATTATTTTAAAAATTGTGGGACTGGATGCTATAAGGTGTTACGCGCAATGTTAAGTAAATGGCGCGTAACACATTATAGTATCCAGCCCCTCAATTTTTTTCAAGAATTTCAATAATTTATTCAAGAAAATTGTAAAAATATATGTAAATTAACATTTCGAAATAATTATTTCGCTATGTAAAGACATTAATCTCAATATAGATAATAATAACTATGTAAAGACATTAATTTAATATAGATATAATTATTACAAGCCCATTAACACCCGTTAGAGTTTCAACGATCACTTTTCACAAAAAGCACTTTTATATGGTAAAGATAATAAAAATTGTAAAGCACCGCGATATGAAAGGTCGCTGGGAACTTGCAGAACATGATGTTGAACTGCTAACAACCTATATATTCTCTCTTGCTCTCACAGAATGCCCTGGAGCTTGCAGTATTTCTCCTTTTATATCTCACACCTTCTATTTCAAGACATCCTTTTTGCATTGCTTCCTTTTTATATAGAAATTGTTAACATCACGATTTAATCTCACAATATATTTTAATATTTCATGTATTCACGTAAAATCTCAAAACGTTAAAATATTCTAAAAAAGCAAAAGGGGAAAAGTACCATTTATTTATTGACCTACTTTCTTTTTTTCTATAGATATATATTTACTTACTTTAACTTTATATATATTTTTTAATACATACAATTTTTTTCTACCTTCATTTTAATTCTTATTTCATTAAATTTAATTTTTTATTAGCACCTGAAGTCTGTGTCTTGAGCGAGAGAGAAATATTTGAATTATTTATATTCAAATTTGAACTTAAAAGATATATATGTTAGGCTCAAAAGCCGAAAACGGCCAATGGCCGGAAAAAACAGCCAAACCTAGTTTTGGCAAGTGCAGTTTTGCCAAAACTAGGTTTGGACGTTTCACTTCGGCCATTGGCCGTTTTAAATTGACAAATCTAGTTTTGGCAAATCGACATTTGCCAAAACTAGTTTTGGCAATTTAAATTTGTCCAAAACTAGTTTTGTCAATTTAAATTTTGCCAAAACTAGTTTTGTCAATTTGTCATTTGCCAAAACTGGTTTTGTCAATTTGACATTTGGCAAAACTAGGTGAGGCATTTCAAATTGTGAGAAATTGAAAGAAAGAAAGAATAGAAAAAGAAAGACCGCCGTATTAATAGGAAATTTGTTTAGAATTAGCATGTACTTATTGTTGCTATTTTGAAAACTTAGATTATTTTTTCTATGTTTGGGGAGTTTGTTATTAATTTATATAAACAATTATTAAAAAATGTTTGTCATTACTTGTATGTTTTTTATTTTGATACTGTAATCCACGGTAAAGAAAATAAGCCTAACTTGATAAAAAAATATTAATATTAAAAAAAGTTACAAGGGTTTTTCTAAGTTAAACTTTAACTGCTGTTTTCTCGAAAACTTGTTTTCGCACGTAAGGTCCCTTTTCATAGACCAGGTCACATATTGTTTCTGTATTGAATAATTGTGTGTATGAAATAAGAAATCGTCAACAAGGTAAATTAGCCTGTGTAAAGATAAATTAGTCTGTGTAAAAATAAATAAGTGTTAAAAAAGTTTTTTTCATTAACTTTTATGTGCAAAATATCAATGGATTTTTGTTAGAGAAATTTCATCTTATTGTAAATAGTATTAATCAATGACACATTTTTAAATAAATATATTCCTATTGTATAACGAAGCGGTCTTTCTCACAATTTGAAATGCCTCACCTAGTTTTGTCAAATGTCAAATTGACAAAACTAGTTTTGGCAAAAGTCAAATTGCCAAAACTAGTTTTGTCAATTTAAAACAGCCAATGGCCGAAATGAAACGTCCAAACCTAGTTTTGGCAAATGTCGATTTGCCAAAACTATTTTTGTCAATTTAAAACGGCCAATGGCCGAAGTGAAACGTCCAAACCTAGTTTTGGCAAAATTGCACTTGCCAAAACTAGGTTTGGCTGTTTTTTCCGGCCATTGGCCGTTTTCGGCTTTTGAGCCTAACATATATATATATATATATATATATAAAATAGAACTATAAAAAGAGAGAATATTAATAAAGTCTCTCCCTCTGAATTGTCAGTGTTGAAATTTAATTAAATAATATTCTATTGGGTTTTCGGGTTTTTAATATTAATGTCATTGTAATCAAAATGACATTAAAATATTATTCATTAATATATTCTGTTTTCGATTTGTGATTTATTATTCAACTTTTTCTTCACGACAATCTAATAAATCATTTTGATAATAAATATTAAATATTGACTACTAAGTATAAAATATAAGGATTAAATATTAATTACTAAA